ATGGAGAGTGAGACTGCTACTAATAGATCACCAATTATACTTGGTAGGCCTTTCATGAGAACAGCTAGAACAAAGATAGATGTTCATTCTGGTACTCTATCCATGGAATTTGGTGATAGCATTTTACATTTTAGTATATTTGATTCCATGAAGCATTCTAAGGTTCAGGTTGATCATTCAGTTTCATGCATAAAAGTGATTCATGATGTGGCTGATAAGGTTGATTTTGAATTGATTAGTGATTGTGCATTACCTGTGGATTATGACTTGCCTATTAATGTTAATTCTGAATGTGTACTAAATGCGAAGTTATGCAAGACTCCCCATTCTGGTAATGATTTTGATCCTAACTCTCATGGACCCAAGATGAAATGGGTACCAAAAAGTTCTTCCTCTATTTTTAGTATGCAGAAAAGTTTGCATAAGGTTGGAAGAAAGGATCAAGAGAAGAAGAAATACACACAGAAAAGAAAGCCCCCAAAGTTGCGTGATAAGCAGATGGGGAAGACTTGCACAATGATTTGCCATCACCTCAAAGTTGTTAATGAAGGACCCCAGAAGCAACCTGTGGAGACAGAGGCTCTGCTCATTGATGCTACTTATCCTCCTTAGGGAGTTCAGGGAGTCTTCTTCCCTCTTTTTCTTTTCTTTCTGTTATTTGCATTTTTCTTTTCCTTTCTTTATTTCAGTCTTTGATTTTCATAGGTAGATTTTCCTTTTCTTTCTGGTTATTATTGAGTGTTACATGGAGTAGACTTAAATCACAGGGTTTGATAGAAATTTCTGCTTAGGCTTAGTTCTTGATTCTTGGATTGCATTACTTGCTGCTTGATACTGTGCTGCTGATTGCATGATTTGGTATACCCTTGTGAGGTTTTTGAGCCTGTAGACATGGTCTTAATCTGTAGGCCAGTTTTTCTTTCTTGTGTGATTCTGCTCTTGATTGTTGTCCTCTAGAACTTGCTCTGATTCTTTTTGAAACTGCATTTTTCACTTGCATGCATGAATATGATTGAGGCATTCTTTCTTTCTTTACCCACTTTAGCTAGATAGCCATCCCTTATATTATTATCCCTTGGTGAGCCCTTTTGAGCCTTTATATCCGTTATTTCTTAAGCCGCATTACCAGCCTAAGTGAAAAACCAATTAATTCCATACCTTGGAGTTTTACTGAGCATTGGTTTCATTGTGATGTTGTGTTTAAGTGTGGGGGTTTGCCCGAGACGGACAAAAGTTTAAGTGTGGGGGGTGACATATGTGGTTGTACTTATGTGGTTTTACTTCAAAACAAAAAAACAAAACAAAAAAAAAAACAAGAAAAAAAACAAGAAAAAAAAAACAAAAAAAAAGTGTTTATCTTTTCAGTATCTTTGTTTTATGTTCTTAGTTTAGTTCTTAACTTTTGCTCTTTGTAAAATTCTGGGGTGTTTAGCTTTCTCTTCCATATTCATCCGTACCTTTACCTCACCCCCATTACAACCCTGCATAAAGCCCTCTTGATTTGTGCATGCATGTGTTATTAGCAGTGGAGAAGTAGAATTTGAGCAAGCCTATGGTAGAATGATTTTCTGGAGTTGATTTGAGTGATATACTGAATTAACTGATACACTTGAGAGAAAATTGAGGGCATCCTGTGAGGAACCATTTTTGTGTAGTTAGCAGTTGCAGTTGAAATCAGCACGTCTTGTGATTTGAGATTAAGGAATTTTTGTCCTGGTTGTTTTATCTGTTCAAGACTTGTGATTTTTGTTATCTTTTGTATACTTGCTAATTATTAGGAAGGATAGGTTGATCTTCACTCTTTTCTTATTTCTTTGCTTTCTTTTTCTATTCTAGTTTTTGCCCAGGAGTGCAAAAAGATAAGTGTGGGGGAATTTGATAACTCATATTTTATTACACTTATTTGTTACTCTTGATTAGTATTTTTAGAATTTATTTGAATAAAATAATGATGTTTTGAGTTTATTTACATTTTTAGTTTTTGATTGGGTTTAATTTATTTTCGTCAGAATTTTTCAGCTTTACGTTACTTCTGTATTTTGGCCATATCTTGGTCCACAGTTGTCGGATTGACTCCGTTCTTGTTGGGTTTTTCAGATAACACAGAGGGCTACAATTCTTATGAAGAGCTCGAAGCCCAATTCGGATTGAAAGCTAGTCTATTTCTTGCACCAAGTCGGACACGTTTTGCTGAAGTTTTATTTTATTTTATTTATTTTATTCCGTATTTTAGACATATGGGCCGGTCAGAACTGAACCCTAAGCCGCTTTGAGTAAGGGTATATGACGGCAGAGTAGGAAACATTGGATGCATTCTGTAATTTTCAAAATTGAGGATCAAAGTATTTTCTCTGAAGCGTTCTTCATCTTTTTCTTCTTTTTCTTCTTCTTTTTATTTCAATCATGTTTACCTTAGCCATGCGAGGCTAAGAACCTTTTAATCAACTTAAGGGTAATGGATTCCATGGATTAGTCTTGAGGATCTGCGTTTATTTCAAATCAGTTTTGTTTTCCTTCCCAACTCAGATTGATATCGTGCGATCGTGGATATTCAATCTGAGGTTCGCGATTGCGATTATGGAAAGGGATTAATCATCAGATTTGATGATTAGGTTGATTGACCCTATGACCTTAAATCAAGCGGGCTGATACTCTGCGATTGTATGAGTAGAAACATCGTCTTTGATCAAATGCTAAGCGATCGCTTAGAGAGGGTTGTCAATTGGAAATAAGGATTCTGATCCGATTGACAAATCAATCACGATTCTGATATCTTCTTATCCGAGGAAAGACGTCCATGGAACCCAAACCTTAGGTTGGTTATTTTTAATTACGAATTTTTATTCCAAATTTATATTCTGCCTTTTTAATTATTGAATCAAAATCCAAAACCCCCCTTTTAATTTTCTGTTCTTATAAGCGATTTTAACCAAAACAATTTCCTTGAGAGACGACTTAGGGTTTCCACTTTACTGCAAATTTTCTGAACCCTAATTAAAAAATAATTTTTAATTTGCGCGAGTTCGACAGCTCGTGTCAGGTTCATGGCCAAGCGGGGCGAGCGGGTCAACCCAAATTGCCACCCCTAGCCTTTGGCTCGGCTCGTGAAGGCCTGAGCTTTTATGTCCAAAATTGATTGTTGGAACCATGCTTGAACTTGTATAAAAGCTCGTTTAATGAAAAGGTCTCAGGCTCCAATTTAAAAGCTCGGCCTTAGAGCCTCTCAGGCTGGCCTAATATATTAATTTTTATTTTTATTTTATATTTTTTATACTACTTGTGATAGCCCTCTCTCTCTCCTCAATCTATTTCATCCCATTTTATTAATTAAACAGACTTTTTGAATGATTTTGTTTTATATTATGCTCTTTGGATATACATTAAATTTATGAATATTTATGGAATTACTAGTGCTGTTGACTGTATATTTTGTTTGGATAAATTTTTGTTGTCTTATTTTGTTTTAAACAGGCTAAATCAGATTTTTGTTTTTTGTAAATAAGACAGGCCACATGCTAAAATTATATTCATAACAGGTAACATGTTTGATCATACTGACATATTTAAACACAGACTTAGCCTTTTTAGATCAAAGCTCGGCTCGGCTCGTTAACACCCATACATATATATATATATATAAAAGATGGGAAACATGAATGTTATGTTACATGACACAAATGTCATAAACACAAAAAGATGATATTCACATTTTTATTTTTTCTAGTGGAAACTATACCATTTTATGTCTATAACATGATGGATTTGGATATTCTTATGTTTATGGGTTCACTTTTTCTACAGTCAATGTAGATAAGTATCTACATTGAGCTCAAAACAATGTCGTTTTGAGACGAAAATCAAGATATTTTTGTAATTATAATTTATTTCAGGGTTATAATAGTCTTTTTCATTATAATTTTTTAATTTTTAACTCAAAACGACGTTATTTTGGAAACGAATGTAGATAACTTATCTACATTCACTTTAGAAACATTAAAACCTATGTTTATGTAATATTAATTTGAAAGATAGGAAATGTGAATGTTATGTTACATGACACAAATGTCATAAACACAAAAAGATGATATCCACATTTTTATTTTTATTTTTTCTAGTGGAAACCATACCTTTTTATGTCTATAACATGATGGATTTGTATCTTCTTATGTGTAAAAGCAGTTATGTGACCATGTTATTTGATCACAACTACTTATTTAAAAATCATAAACTTTTCTCTCTCATCTCATCATCAATGAGTAATTGTGATCAAATAATATGACTACATCACCACTTTTACATACAAGGATCCAAATTCATAACATGATATAACATGTGTCATATAATATCTCGCTCAAATTTTCATCAGGGGCCGTTTGGTATGAGGATTTTGGAGAAAATCTTGGAAAAATGAGATGGAAATTTTTTTTCCTACGTTTGGTACGAGTAAAAGAGAAAATATTCCCTGGTTTATTTTTTTCTCATCATTTGAATTATAACTACAAATTTCCAAACTCAAATATCATCACCTCCGTAGTATTTATTTTTTCCCACCTCATGGGAAAGGAAAGACAATTTTATGAGAGGAAACTGCCATTGACTTAGGTTAAATAAACATTGATATGAAATTCAATATTCAAACATATGGACAATTTTGTAAATTTAGTCCAAATTTTCAGTAACATTTTACAATCAATGAAACATAAAATCACTTAAATTAATTCAATTTTTTTTGGAAAATTTTACCCTATCAAACAAATTTTTCATAATATTGATGGAAATATTTTTTTTCCATTCATGATTCTCTCGAGAAAAAAAAAAAACTCCTGAAGCAAACAACTTTAAAGTAATTGAGCACAGTAAAGAAGTTAAGAATGTAAGTGTTATGCTTCATCATCCATTTCATACAACAAGATACCCCTTTTCATTTTTAATAATTTTTTATTTTTGTTAATGGACTGTGATAACTCTACCATCAGAGTTGATTAATTAGGATGCATTTTTATCCTTTTTGAGGGAAGAAGGAAGAAATAAGCGAAGCAAGAGATGGCAAGCAGAGTCTCCAACACCTCTAGCAGCCTCTTCACGGCTCGATTTCTCACCAGAAAATTATCTCCCAACGTCATCACTTACTATACTTTTTTCATATTTGCTTTCTCCATCTTCGTCTTCTTTTTCTACGTTAGAAACATCACTGTCGATGAAGATCAACAAAACTCTCTGTTTGCTCAACAAACTCGATCTCACAGGGTACACAGCAATTCCCTCATTTATTTTTTCCATTTTAATCGAATCGAATCGAATCAAAATTTTAGGGATCTGGATGGAATTCGCGTGTTTCTTAGTTGATCCTTCGATTTAATTCACTCTGGTGTTAGAGATCCAAGTCTGATGCTTATTTTGTGTAATTCAACTTGCTTTGTGAAATCGTCTTAACTAATAATTTCGACGAAGAAAAAAGCATTACGGATGCAAAAATGTATTTTAAGATTAGAGATTTTTTTTATATTTTTTTTTCCGATTGATATCAGCAAGTCTTGTTGGTTCTAGCTATATTAACTAACTAGGACTCTGGCGGTTTCGCTTCACTATGCTTTTTTTTTTTTTTTTTTTTTCTTGTTCACTCTCAATAACTGCTGCATTTTGTTGCATATTGCTACAGGTGCCAGAGTTACATGAGTACAACGAGCAGCTTTGGGATTCTCCTTTCAGTCATGGCTTACGCCCCTGTGTTAAGCCGACTGCTAAATATAAAGGTTTCAGATGCTTACTTCTATTCATGTAATAACTTGTTTGTTGAGTTTACTACTTTCACTAGGTTCCACTACTTTTATAGTTTTATTTTAAGTTTTCTTTTTTCGGCACTTGGAGTCTATAATTGTTTGTTTGTCAACCAGAGCATAGCCTTGCTATTTAATTTATCTTGTGCATTTTGTCTTTCTCCTTTCGTCTTATAAATGTTTTACATGTTACTGCATCAGGTGCCCAAGGATTTGATCGCTATCTGACTGTGAGAAGTAATGGTGGATTAAATCAAATGCGAACTGGTGTAAGTCACTTCTTCCTCTTTTGCAATGTCTTGCAACTCTTATATAGAAGATAAATTAAATATTACATTCAGTTATAGTTTAAGCCTTTAGCACGTGATAATACATATGAAGTTGTTGAAGAGTTAAAAAAGCCACTCCCATTAAATCCAGACTGGCAAGGGTAGGGATAAAGTTGTTGAAGAGTTCCTATTTTAAATTTCTTGTATCAGAATAGTTTTTTGAGTTACTTCTTTTGCCGTCAAAGGCTGGGAATTTGATGTTTATTTTCTTGTCCTTTTGGAAATTGTGAAATTTTGAGTTTTTTCTTTCCATCCATGCAAGACTTCAGCAATTCATCGCATCTGTTAAATATAATGCGTTCTATACAGTGAATTGCAGTCAAAGGTTTTTTTTGTCTTATCTATAGGGATTTTAATTTGTAAGTTTGCGTTGATGGCATCTTCTTTAGGTTTGGTTAGTGACTATGTGTGAATCTAACTGCTGTTCTACTTACATATAGATATGTGTGTGTGTGTGTATATATATATATTGTACTTACGTAATAAATCCTTTTTCCTATAGATATCAGACATGGTGGCTGTGGCACATATAATGAATGCAACTTTAGTCATCCCTCAATTGGATAAACGTTCATTCTGGCAAGACTCAAGGTATTTCTGTCTATACTTTATTTAAGTGTCATTTGGCTCCTTAAATGCATATTATATATCCTTTCCCATTCTTATCTTCTTTATTGGGTGTGTGTACAGTGTATTTTCAGATATATTCGATGAGCTTCATTTCATTGAATCCCTACAAGGAGATATCAGGGTTGTTAAGGAACTTCCCAAGAGCTTGGAAGCTGTCCCCCGGGCCAGGAAACACTTTACTTCCTGGTCTGGAGTTGGTTACTATGAAGAGATGACGAGGTTATGGAATGACTATCAGGTACTCAAGTTTTTCTTACATGATCTAAAACTTCTGGTGGTTCTCATTTTATGCAGAAGGCTTCATTGTAAAACTTGCTATCAGTAAACATGGTTTTGCATGCTTAACCTCAAATCAACTCCCTCTGAATATTAGTACTTCAATTTTCTTGTATTTGATTCTGAATAGGTCTGTTTGTGAAAAGTAGCAGTGTGACTTAACCCCAGAGACACCTTTTTGCTTCAATCCACCCCTTTTTTAATATAGCCAATCCAAAAACCAAGAGAAAAGGAAATGGGGGATAGGCTGGCAGCTCAATGTAAATATTTTTCACATGAGCATGAATATGGGCATTGCAGTTTATTACAAGAATTCATGTAGTTGCGCTCAAGCAGTTAGTACAAAATTTTGGTGAGATTTTTTTCCCCATAAAGAAGATTAAGTAATATATAGTCAGGGAATGCTGTTTACATATTTTCTGGGACATTTAAGTCATACTAGAAAGACATAGAATGCTCATCCTTTACCATGTTAATGCTGTCATTACTAGGTTGGGGAATAAGAAATAGATGTACAGTTGTTTACCAACATTATTTTATGTTTGTATTTAAAATGCTTTGTTTTCTAATGCAATGCAATGTCAAACATGTTATGAAAATGTCCGTTTTAGACATTAGATTTTTTGCTGACATTTTGTTGATTGCTTACTTCTGGGCATGCACAAACTTAATGTCTGTTCTCGGTGAAGGGGATATCTAACTCATACTCATGCTCAGCCAGTGATTTTCATATGTTGTCCTTGTACTTCTTAGAATCCTTAAAATTCAGTTTTTGGCTGTGGACCTTATTTCATAGACTGAATGTGTTAAACAAATAATGATTTGATTTTGCAGGTGATACATGTTGCAAAATCAGATTCTCGACTTGCAAACAATGATCTTCCCCTGGACATCCAGAGGTTGAGATGTCGAGCAATGTATCATGCACTTCGATTTTCTCGTCCTATTGAGAATTTAGGAAAGGTGTGATGTTTTTTTTTTGGTATAATTCGTATTATCGTAAATACCTAATAAAAATTTAGCTGTACATCATATTGGGATTTATTGACTGATAAAATATTGGAATGGAGATATTTTGAATGCTGAAGAGTTGTTAGGTTCAATCCCTTTTGAGTTTAAGTCCAATTTTTATGAACATCATGCTAGAAAATGATGCATATGAACCCAGGATTACAATATCCTTCACTTTTGAATCATTTGATGCATTTAAGAGGTCTACATGGGGCTTCTTGGTAAATTAGGTTCTGAGCATACATGACGGTGAAAAAACAGAGATTGGTGGATCGGCTGAGATCACGCAGTGGAAGATATATTGCTCTCCATCTAAGATATGAGAAAGATATGCTGTCTTTTACTGGCTGTACATATGGTCTGACAGATGCAGAATCTGAAGAGCTGAGAATTTTGAGGTGAGAATTCTTATGCTACCACGTATTGGAAATATATATAACTCTTGAAGTACTTAATCATTCTACTTATCTCTTTTATTTATAATTGTTTCAATTCTTCTAGAGAGAGTACAAATTATTGGAAAGTAAAAAAGATAAATTCAACAGAACAGAGAGTTGGAGGATTTTGTCCGCTGACTCCAAAGGAGGTGGGCATTTTTCTTCAAGCTTTTGGGTTTCCTCGATCAACACCAATATATATTGCAGCAGGGGATATTTATGGTGGTAACACTCATCTTTCGGAGCTCTCCTCCCGCTTCCCTAATCTAGTCTTTAAGGTTTGTAAATACTTTACTTGTCTAACTGTATTAACAAATAGTTCAATAGCGCATAATCTGAGGGTGAGGTGCAATGTGGGCCTGATTATTTGATTGATAAATGATAACAGGAATCCCTTGCAACTCCTGAAGAGCTGAACGCTTTCACCAATCATGCATCTCAAACTGCTGCACTGGATTACATAATCTCTGTGGAGAGTGATGTATTTGTTCCATCATATTCAGGAAATATGGCAAGAGCTGTTGAGGGACACCGCAGATTCTTAGGTCACCGCAAGACAATCACCCCTGACAGGTACTGAGTTCAAGAAATTATAATAATAGGGGTGTCTTGGGGCTGTTGATACATTTCAACCACCTTTAGGTATCTAGTCTTGTTTTTCTTTCTTTTCTTTTAATTTGCATGCTTGCCAAAATGTTTATTTTTCCCTTCTGCGTTCTGTATTTAAGTTAAGAATCACTGATCCTAAAAAAATGATTTCTGAGGATCGGATTTAGCTCTTCTCAGGCTTTCATTATCTACTTGAATTATGATAAAAGATGATAGGGTCCCTCATTCCCCTTTTTTCCTATTATGTTGGTTTACTACACGATCTAAATTTTTATTGTTTGTTTTATTGGTCTCTGTTTCTTTCGGTTTCTTCTAATACATGTACATATGTATTGAGCTGGTGTACATTGCAAACAAGATGACAATGTTAGATATGCTGTGAAAGTTTAACTCATCTACTCTCATTCTGGATTCCACTTGCTTCTGTAGTGAAATACTTCTTGAATTTCTGATCATTTGGAAACTGGAAGACCAAGAGAAAATGCCTTTTTACACATATGGTTCTTCAACTTATCTCTTTTTATTTTGCTTATTCATTTTATTTTCAGGAAAGGACTTGTTGGAATTTTTGATATGCTGGAAACTGGAGAGCTAGAAGAAGGAGCGGCATTGTCACGTATGGTGCAGCGGATGCACAAGAACAGGTAACTTTCTTGCATAATGTTTAAGTCATGTTAATGCAAATAGACCTTAAAGATGAGGAATTTTTTTGGCTCGCCATTTTTTGACTTCATTTTCTGAGTTAAACAAAAAGAAAACTGCTTATTTTTCATGATTATACGTGTAGGCAAGGAGCTCCAAGGAAGAGACAAGGTTCCCTACCAGGAGTTAAAGGCCGAGCGCGATTCAGGACTGAAGAGTCCTTTTATGAAAATCCATACCCTGAGTGTATATGTGGTTCTAGAAGCAAACTAGAAAAAACGTGACGACAAACCAAACTGCAGTTCCAATCTAAAACTTATGGAGGGACCTGTTTATGTGTAAATTTGTTTTTGACGGATTGTTTAATTGTAATTAGCAATTTCTGACACGCTTGGTTCCTCGTCTGAGCCTTACAGCTATCTGGTCACGGGGCCTTTGGAAACCCTTTATCACTAACACACAATGTTGGCAGCTTAGCTTCTTAGCAGTATTCTAACAATGCTCTTTAATTAGCATTTCTTGCTTCATAAAACTCAAGAAACGAATTACCTTTTTTTTTTTTTTTGGTGGGAAACTTAATACCTTTTTTCTTCTTCTTGGAATTGTACATGATTTTTATAACATTATATTTTTAATTCATGGATAGATTTTTCTTTTATTTTTCCTTTTTACATTATGAACTAGTCTACCGGTGAGGCGAAGGATAGCAAAGGGAGGAAACGAGGCTAAATGAAACAGTTATAACCTATTTCTTGAAATTTGGACTGCATGTGGTGGTAATTCGGTTGACATGATATTATATGAATTTGACATAAATATGAATATATTTAATACAAATATGATAAATTTAAATTGGGTTAAAAAATTTTATGCGAATATTATCCGTTTATTTTGTTGGTTGACATGATATGATACAAATAATTTATATTCTCAAAATATATCGCTTATTATATGGATTGATATGACACATCACGAATAATCCATCAAAGCCACGAATAATCCATCAATCTTAAAATATTTCGCTTATTATACGGATTAACATGAGATAATAAAAAATGGATAATATATTTTTGGTAATGTTGTGTTGACACGAAATGATTTTTTTCATGTCAATCACAACATGGATTTAAAAACGAATTCACTGGAATCTGAAATTTTTGTATCATGTAAACGGGTTATAAAATTACCACCCTTAATTGTCTCACTAGATAGATGACGCACCTAACACTCTAATGGAAAATGCGTTTTGTGCATCCCACATTTTAACATCCCAAGTCCATGAGCCGATGGAATGGATATATGAATAGTTTTTATTGGTACTAGATATAGATTAAAATTGTATGAATATATTAATAGTTTTTATTGGTACTAGATATAGATTAAAATTGTATGAATATATGAACTCTAAATTGACTTTCAATTTTTCAACATGTTAAAAGTAGAGCAAATTTCATTTTTATTTGGAGTTCATACTTTTGCCACACTTTTAGTGAGTCGAAAAACTTAACATGAATTATTATCATTATATATATATATATATATTTTTTTTTTTGATAACAATTATATTTTTTACTTGTGTTAAAGAGAGAGAATTTACTATGTAAAATAAAATAAAAATTAAGATATGTTCATATTATTCTATATCCATTCAATTTTAAAAAAAATCTTTTTTTTTTGTCTCCTGTAAGTATGAAGCTAATTCTTGCTTGAAAAATCAATAAATTTGACTTTGCCAACAAGCGTTTTTAATGTAAACTTGAAAATTTGATATTTACATAGTTAATAAAGCAAAACTAGTTTTTTTCCCCAATGATCTTTCAATTTTTTCATTTATTTTTTTATATGTTAATGAGATAATTTATAACATGAAAAAAAATATTTTTTGCTTGGAGATACGGAGCATGTAAACGAGGTTTGGCGAACATGTTTTGGAGATGTATATTCCACCAATTCTACCCTTTTGTTATGTGTAAAATAATAAACACAAAGTATTATAATAAATTTTATATTGCTCTATTTATGAATATCATAAATTTTTTTATTTTATATATCTAACAGCTAATAATATAAAATAATTATTATATCTTTGAATCAGTGGTGCTGTATTGTTCTGCAGTGTCCCTGTATACATATTAGGGTGGAAACATACTTTTTACCATATCTCTTAAATAATATATCTAGTGTTCACTATCCCGTAACACTCAAAATATATTTGTATATATATTTGTGAAGATGTGATTCACTCTTTGCAATACGTATTATATTAATCTTGTGACTTTTATTATAAAATTTCAAATTTTTTCATGAGATAAGTTATTATTATTACCAATTAATGTTATTACGAATATCATTGTCAGTTTATTTTGTTGTTAGATCAATTATGTTGATCTTACAGTTCTGATTTAATTTTTTTAAAACCTTTTTTTTCTTTATATATTTAATATTTTATATTTATTTCCACCTATATATTATTATGATTTCTCATATTTAATGCTTTCATATTAAATATGGAGAATTATAATCACACAAAAGTAAAAAAAAATATAATTACTGAATTAACATAATCGATCTAATGATAAAATAAATTGATAATGACATTGATAATAAGGTAGTAACAATATCCTATTTTTTTATTTTTTTCATTCAGAAATTGCAATACATTAAAAATGAAATTTCTTAAATTTAAGAAATACATAAAGAAATGAACATTCATAATTAAAATTGAAATAAATATCTTATATTTTAATGTAATTACAGTAAAAATAAAAATATTACCATCATATTTGACATTGTTTCTGTCAAACTGATTAGAGACACTAACTACTAACAAGCTCTTATAAATTAAATATATTTTACTAAAAGAAAAAGGACACTCTTACCCTAAACCCCAACAAGAACTTGAAAATGCAGAAAACAGATAATCACACTGTGTAACGAGTGAGTGTAAGTATAAGGAAGTAATGTAAACTTGAAACTCTTGCTCTATCTTCTCTAAACAAAACATGAATTCTCAAATTGCAAATACCATTGATTTGCTTCCACTCCCAAAACCAAAACCTTTCTTCTTCCCTCATAAAACCCTTTTCACCCATTCTTCACCTCGCTCCACTCTTTCTCAACGCCTTCGATTCTCACTTAACAAGCCTCGCAACTTCGCTAGTCAATGGAAACTCAGAATGACTGCTTCAACTTCTCTTTCAAATTCAACTGTCCCCAACAAAGAACAGGAAGAAGATGCTGAGTCTGCTCAGCTATTTGAGGTTGGCTTTTCCATTCTCTATCTCTCTTTTTTTTTTTTTTTTGGCTTAGTTTCGTTTTTGTGAAGAAAAAGAGAAGAACTCAATGAAATTATGGAAAATGAGAATTGGGTGTTTTTTATTTTATTTTTTAAATTTTTTATGTGTACCTTATTTCAGTGTGTTGAGGCAATGCAATGTTTCATTTTTCAAACCTGCAAGTCATGTCATGATGATTCAAGCTCTTATTGCATTTGGAACTTTTAAATTCATGAGAAATTTTTTGATGGGTGTGTGCAGAAACTGAAGGAGGCCGAAAGGAAACGGATAAATGAGTTGGAAGAACTTGACAACAAGGCTAACGTGCAGTTAGAGAGGCAGCTTGTTATGGCTTCGTCTTGGAGCAGAGCTTTGTTGACCTTGCGCGGAAAACTGAAGGGAACTGAGTGGGATCCTGAAAATTCACACAGGATAGACTTCAGCCATTTTTTGAGACTTCTTGACTCAAATAATGTCCAGTTTATGGAGTACTCTAATTATGGTCAAACAATATCTGGTGGGGATTTTTCTTTTCCAGAACTATATATTACGTTTGATGTGAAACTAGTTGGCTAATTGTTATACGGGCGTTTCACGAGCTGTGTTTTGATTCTTGTTGATGTGAGTATATTGTAGGAGAATCTTAGGCCAGTTAATACAGATAAAGTGGTTGCTGAGTTTATATGTTTAGCTGAAATATAATAGAAAAGACACTGATATATATCATCGTACTTCTGTCAGATGTTAATTTGATTTGTTGCATTATATGAAGTTTTTAATGTTGGGTTGTGTATGTTAGCTGGTTGATGAAATTAAGTCATGTTCATCAACATTTTTGTGTATGATGCATTACAGTCTATTTGATAAAATCTAGCTGTATTTATCGTGAATTAGTTAATGAAGATGGAGGGATATAATTTTGCCTCTTCTACACCTAACCTAAAATAAGATAAAGGCCATATAGAAACACACACATAGAAGTAGAACAGAAAGAACTCCAGAATTGGCATAATAATATCCATTGTCCTTCAATGTGCACTTTTCCTGTGGTGTCTCCAATAGCAAGAACTGGACAAAAGGAGAGCTCAAGTGGGGGTGTATTTGTTTGTCATTGCATGCAACCAAGTTATTTTATTTTATTTTATTTATTTTTAACTCAAGAAGAGGAGGAGGAGGAGAAAGAGAATATGTAATTCTTTTGTGCAGTTTTGGCAGGTTGATTTGGTTCGCTGTTGCAGGGCATTTGTCTCATCTAGGTAGACTTTGTTAAAATTTTCAGTGTTATTGGGGGTTTGAAGTTCACATAAAATTTTATATTGGGAAATTTAAAGTTTAAACTCATGAAAATTTTAAGATCAAGCATGTGCTATTTGGCACTTTAGTCATTTTACATTCTGTTCTAGTCCTTAGACAATACTCTAGTTAAAATATGTATTGCTGTGTCACATTGTGGTCCATGCTTATGTTGCTTTCAGCTCAGCTACGGAAAGTGGTCAGTCTGGTTGAATTATTGTTATTGTTGTATCGCTGAATATTTGTTGCCTTGTTCATGCAGTTATTCTACCATATTACAAAAACGGGAAAACACCAGGAACTGAAGGGAATCCTAAGGATATTGTTTTTCGGCGTCATGCGGTTGATAGAATGCCAATTGATTGTTGGAATGATGTTTGGAGAAAGTTACACCAGCAAATTGTAAACGTTGATGTCATTAATGTGGACAGTGTACCTGCTGAAGTATACTCAACTGTTGCCACTGCAGTCATATGGTCTATGCGTCTTGCCCTGGCTGTTGGATTTTATGTGTGGATTGATAATTTGATGAGACCAATATATGCAAAGTTGATACCTTGTGATTTAGGAACTCCTAGCCAACAAACTAGGCAGCCACTCAGACAACGTGCACTTGGATCTCTAGGCAAGAGTCGGTAAGTGGATAAAATTTCCCTGTTCCCTACCCCATTTCCCCTTGGTTGTTGGAAATTTCATTTATGTTGTTAATGTGAGTTGTTAGCTGGTTGATATGTGTCATTCTATCTGTAGTTAAGATTTACTAAAAGTGTTTCTCATTCTTTGGACTTAACAAAACAGCTAATGCTTTTGGGCTAGGTGGTTCTTTAATCTTAGAAATTTAGAATCAATTCATGGTGAAGGAAAATATGATGTTCTCTCTCTCTCTCTCTCTCCCCCCCCCCCCCCCTCCTTCTCCTCTGTCTCTTTTCTATTTTTTGTTTTTAATTTGCAATTTCAGCAGAACCTGTAAGTGTCATCCATCCCCCTCCCTTTTAAGTTTCGGTAACTAAAGAGGGGACTGCTTACTATAGCCGTTGTGAAATCGTGTCAAACTTTTATGCTTGTTTCATAAACAAAGTCGGAATTCAGATTAGTCTTGATATGAACCCACCATGGTTTGGGCCTCAAATGTAATAAATGACCCAATTGGCAATGTTGTAACAAGTGGAGATATTGACTAGAATGCCCTCCAACAGATAGAGCGTGAGTGTCATTGAGTTTGTTATATAGAAGGGAGGCAGCAAGGAAAGGGGAGATGGGGAAAATCTGAAGAAACTTGGGCCCTTTGGGGATTGGGAGAGAGTGGAACCTCTCATATGTGTTCCACATTATCTTTACCTTTATTGCAGTGTTATTTTCATTTGGATTCTGTAATTTCTTTCATGTTACAACTTTACTGTTATGACGTTTCTGTTTGTAATTGTTGCTATGAAATATATGAATGAGGAATTTTCAGATCTGAGTTCTTGAGTAAGCTCTGTTTTACATTGATTAATTGGTTGGTCCTTATCAATTGGTATTAGAGCTCCGATCTAGCAGCTCTGTGGGATGGTTACTACTAGAAGAATGGAGAATCGATTGGAAAATTTAGAAGAGGATTTGCGCAGGGACGAAGCAAGACACGAGGAAGTGATTCGAAGGCTGGAAGCGAGTGAGTTGGGATTGACTGAAATCATTCGGAGGTTGGACGAGATGGCGGGGAGAAGGAGGAGATGTTCTCGTAGAGGAGGAGAAGATCCGGAAGGCAGCAGTTCAGATTATAACGGAGGAAGGAAGGGAGGAAGGTTCGACGCATTGGCTCTAGATAGCTCGTACAGAGCTCTGTACTCGCTCAAACAATGGGGGAGTATTTCTGAATTTCGAGCGGAATTCAAAGAAATGGTGGAAGCTCTTCATTTCGAGGATGAACACTTACTCAAGGAAGCATGGCTGAACGGAGTGCGCAACAATATCAAGGTAGAACTGCTGAGGTACCCGACGCTTAGCTTGACGGAGATGATGAAGTTGTCGTTGAAGATTGAGAAGAGAAATGTGGTTTGGAGGGAGGAAGGTTCTGGACCGGTTGGCAAAAATTGGGATCAGGGCTTAATTCGCACACCTTTGGGCCAGCGTACAAATTTGGGCCCAATTGTAATGAAAGAGGGGTTCGCAACCCATATGGGCCAAGGTGGCTTAAACAATACGAGCCCAATTCTCTTTTCAGACTTGAACCTTAACAATTCGAACGCTGGGTTAGTGCATACATGAAATGGTAATAGTGAAAACCCTAAGGAAAGGTCAGCGGTGAAGGGTTCTGTTTCAGTCACCGGAAACCCAACGACGAAGAGCTTCGCGAGACAAGAGCGACGGCTGTCTCAGGCTGAACTCTGCGACCGTCAGCTACGTGGGCTCTGTTGTAGGCGCGAAAAGCGTTGGAGTCCCAGTGTCAAGTGCCAAATGCGTCAGTTGCACCGGTTGCTGGTCGACGATGTCTGCGAAGAGAAAGGAGAGGTGAAGATCGAAGAAGAAGGGGTGACGTTGGGGCCTGAAATGAACGAGGCTGAAAATGTTTTACAACTCTCTTTGCATAGTCGGTTCGGTCTCACTTCAAATCTGGGTCAGCGTGCAAATTCAGACCCAGCAGAAACCAAAGGGTGGGTTGCAGCAAATTTGGGTCAGGACAACTTAAACCATATGAGCCCATTTAACCGTTCAACAACAATCTCTAATACCCCAAACGCAGGGCAAACCGTTTTGAGCAATAATCCACCAAAAAACCCTAAGGAAGGTTCATCAGCAAAAGTGTTGGCATATGTCGCCAGAAAATGCTCGACGGAGAGCCTCTCCGGTCAGGGGCGACGTTGTTCCCAGGATGAGCTTCGAGATCGATAGCAACATGCACTGTGTTTCAAGTGCGAAGAGCGTTGGAGCCCCAATCCTAGATGTCAGCTCCATCTGCGACTTGTGGACGACAATGACGACAAGGAAGAGGGTGAGAGAAATGATGGAGCAGTGGTGGCAGCTATATCAAGCGCTGGAGTATCAGACGTTGGCCAAAAGCCTTCGTTGGAGGAGATTGTCAATAAACAAGTCAGTTTCGCCAACATTTCTGAGTTTATCTCCTATCATTCTGCGACGGTGGATATCAGTATCAAGGAACCCATTAGCTTGCTTTCAAACCACCTGGGATCGTGGATGATAGTCAGAAATGAGAACGACGGAACGTGGAGGCCTTGGGGCTGTCTTGAAGCATGGCGAGAGTTAGGCAACTCTAAGGTAATCAAGATAGTTAATAGTTTTCAGGTAGTTGATGAAGATAAACAGGGAATTTTATATGTTGTAAATTCTGATTTTTCGGGACTGGATGGAACAAGAGAACAACCTTTGCATAGCTATGTAAACCAGTGGAAGGGTTTATTTGGAACAGAGCATTTTTCCACTGTCATTAATGTTTTTCATCAACGTGATGTGGTTGTTGTGTCTGCTAATGAAGATCTGATAATCAGAGCTCATGTTACTTGTTCTATGAAAACAAAGGCAGAGACACCCAGCTATAAGTTTGTAGTTAAAGATTCAAGGGCAGTAACAAAATGGGATCCTGGTGGGAGTTATCATGCTTCAAGCATATATGGGTCCGAACAATTCAAGCAATGGGATCCCGGAATATTAACATCACCTTGAGGACAAGGTGATTGTTAGGGGGGGAGTATTGATACGAACCCACCATGGTTTGGGCCTCAAATGTAATAAATGACCCAATTGGCAATGTTGTAACAAGTGGAGATATTGACTAGAATGCCCTCCAACAGATAGAGCGTGAGTGTCATTGAGTTTGTTATATAGAAGGGAGGCAGCAAGGAAAGGGGAGATGGGGAAAATCTGAAGAAACTTGGGCCCTTTGGGGATTGGGAGAAAGTGGAACCTCTCATATGTGTTCCACATTATCTTTACCTTTATTGCAGTGTTATTTTCATTTGGATTTTGTAATTTCTTTCACGTCACAACTTTACTGTTATGACGTCTCTGTTTGTAATTGTTGCTATGAAATATATGAATGAGGAATATTCAGATCTGAGTTCTTGAGTAAGCTCTGTTTTACATTGATTAATTGGTTGGTCCTTATCAGTCTGTAGAAAAGCTACTTACTGTTTACATCTTAAATGCTTTTCAACTACATGAACTGTTAACTAGTTAATGTTGGCCTGCATTAGCTCTACTGGATCGCATAAATCATTCAGGGAAAATCTATTTCTCTATCAAATATTATTTCTCTATCAAATATTTAGAGGATTGAATTTGTACTGCTAAAATTTCTTTTAGATTTTTGTATCGGGGAACAGAGGCAAATAAGCAATACACTATGCCTCCCTTGCTTGGATTTGCCCAACCATTTTTGTTTATGATCTCTTTTCACTAGTTGATGTATGTAACTGCTGAATTTCTATGAGGGTTTCTTGTTTTCAAAAATACCTTTAGAAAACTAAACCACTTTTATATTCTAATAACTGCACCTATCAGCAGTTATTTTATTTTTAATAACTTCCCTATCCATTACCAAAATTACCCTTTAGCCCTTTAATATGTTTTAATTAAATCACACAATAATTCCCAAAAACATGAGAAATTTCTAACATTCTCCCACTTGGCTCATGTGGTAAATGTCATTCCATGATTTAATAAAACATCAACTTTAATGTGCACAATTTGATAAGGCCGCTGAAAATTTATTGTGATAAGCAGTTTTCTTTTCCAAAAACGACAAGTATTCGAAAGGTGCAAAGCATATGGAGTTGACATACTTTGCTGTTAAATAAGAGGTTCAGAAACAGAGTGTCAATAGAGCATGTTAGCACCAATCTTATGTTAGCTGATCTCTTGACAAAGGGATTACCACCCAAGATATTTACTGGTCATGTATATAGTATGCGCATTATGTCTGGCCTCAAGGCATGCCACAAATTTAGCTTCCATCGTCGATGCTGCAATTACAAATTGTTTCTCACTTTTCCATGATATAGCTCCTCCGGCTAAAAGATATAAGTAGCCACAAGTGGATGTTCTTGTATCCACACATTCAACAAAATTTGAATCTGTGTATCCAATCACTTGAAGGTTGTTAGACCTCCTATAAGTAAGCATGTGATCTTTAGTGTCTTGCAGATATCTTAGAATTTTTTTTGCAGCTTTCCAATGATCCTGATGAGAAGCAAACTACAAAATCAATAAAAATAACAGAACACAGATCTTTTTTGACCTGAATAACGTCAGATTTTCATATATTGATGGAAAACAGAGACAATTACAATGATAACGAAACGGAGGAAATTATAGAGACACTTTCTGTAATTAAGCAATTACAATGAAAGGGAAAGACAGCGAAACAGAGATTGCAATGAACAACAACACAGAGAATTAAAAGATAATTGTGAGACAATTGGAGAGGCCTCACTCTCTCTCAAGTGTGAGACAATTAGAGAGGCCTCACTCTCTCCCACGATTCCACTTTTATGACTATTTTCCCCCCACTCCTTCAAGCACCAATCCTCCCCTTTTAACAAATTCCCCCGTAACCACCTTGCTATGCCATGCTTCCATTATGTTTTGCTGAGTCAGCACAGCCAACAACATTTTCACTTAGTCCAATTACTACATTTGGGGCCAAACCATGGTGGGTTCGTATCAGATCTATACCAGGTTTACTCTGGTATCTCCCTAATTCTGCTGCAAATTGTGGTATCTCTCTCTTACCTTGTCTTAGGTTTTTGCCCATCTTCATCTTTATGCGGTTTTTGCCCATCTTCATCTTTATGATATTTAGGACATTTCAAGGGGAAAATCATTTTTTTATAATTTAAATATCAAACTGTCGAATTATAATGAATATTCTCTTTTTAAACATTTAAGCAAACCTTGTACATTATAAGAAGGGAAAAGTGTTTATCCTTTTAAATGACACAACTTATATCCTTTCACTCTCACAAAGAAGTGGGACCCACACTTTTATTTTTTTTGTCAACTCTCTCTCTTCCTTTATCTATCTCTTTCTCTCTCTTAAAATGACACAACTTTACATCCTTTAAAATGACACACACTTTACCCTTATAAGAAATCTGGTTTTGTGGTGACTGGTTCATGACAACTGGTTGTGTGTTGAATATAGTTGGAAAATTTTGAGTTCAACTTCTTCAAATAAAAAGAAAAGAAGAAGATTGTAGCAACCAATCTATTTACACTGGAATCTAATTATTATGCTTTCCCCTCAGGGCTAAATTTATATCTGCAGAAGAAAGAACCGGTGTTACATTTGATGATTTTGCTGGGCAGGAATATATAAAGAGGGAACTACAGGAGATTGTCCGAATTTTAAAAAATGATGAGGAGTTTCAAGACAAAGGAATTTATTGTCCAAAAGGTGTACTTCTTCATGGACCTCCCGGAACTGGTAAAACTCTACTGGCTAAAGCCATTGCAGGTGAAGCAGGGTTGCCTTTTTTTGCAGCAAGTGGCACGGATTTTGTAGAGGTGCTGCCTCTTCTCCAAAGATGTTCATATACATTGAATGGAAGTTAGCAATAAGTAGAACATTGGAACAAAATTTTTGTTCAATATCTAAATCCAAAATCATAAATTTTATTGAAGAATGGGATTGTAGATAAAATTAGAGTAAACACCCATTTTGGTCCTCCAAGAGTACAAGTGTCATTAGTTTGGTTCTTTAATAATAAATACATCAAAATGGTATTCCATTGTCTATTTTTGACATCAAATTGGTCCTTTAAGATGGACTTATTATGGCAAAGATTGACATCAACAGATCATTTTGATGTATTTATAATTGAAGGACTAAATCGATGACTGTTGTATCTTTGGAGGACTGTGTTTATTCTAGAATTTAACAAGGTTAACTGGAGACTTCGACATATTAATCATTAAATAATATGGTATCTAATAGCTAATCCTTCTTGCAATCAATGCACAGTTTAGCACAGATAAATATGATATTAATTGGAATAAGCTAACTAATTGTATAAATGAATGAAATGTATGATGACATATTCATGAAACGTGAAATATTGCATGCATAAGACTCGTCTTCATTTTTGTTTCTTACTTGATGATTTTAGAAATTTAAAGTCATAATGAATTTGTCTCATTTAATTTGTCCTTTCCCCCAGATGTTTGCAGGGGTTGCTGCATCCCGTGTTAAAGACCTTTTTGCTAGTGCAAGATCATTTGCACCTTCTATAATCTTTATTGATGAGATAGATGCTATTGGCAGCAAGCGTGGTGGACCTGATATTGGTGGAGTAAGATACGAACAACTTTTACATTGTTTTTGCACTGCCAAGTCTATTTGCAAAAAAAATTTATGAAAAAAAAAAAGTGAACTAATTTGAATTTTATGCCTATGTAGCATTAATGCTTGGATTTAGCTTGAAATTTTTGAAGCTCTATTTCAGATATGATCACATTTTCCTAAGAGGGAAAGGAGGATAAGAATCCTACTAAAAATAAAAGAAAAGAAAAAGCAAACAACAACAAACAAAAGACATCAATGTAAGATAGCTATCCAATCCCTCAACGTATATTTAATAGACACCCCTTTAAAAAGACCATGTGCTTTACACCATATGGAAGCCAAACACATAATCTTATCCCAAAGTAGCTTATTTTCAGAGATATCCTAAAAATGCAGTAGTTACGGTCCACCCAAATGCACTAAAGTATAGCAAATATTGTATATTACCATATGTTAATTACTTGGCCTTTTAAATTCTTGTAGGGGAGTCAAGTTAAATGTAATATCGGAAAGTTAGTACTCATCTCACCTTATGGTAATTATTATTAGGATTGGGTACTGAATTGTTGTATAGGTCCATGTGCTAAGACATTAATCTTGTTTTTGTATTTTCGTTCTCTTCAATAAAATTTCTTCTTCTATCAAAAACAGAAAAAAATGTGCATAGGATGTGATAAAGTTTTATAGTGGTCATAACCAATTGAACTTTTGTCGTTCATGACCACATGCCTCCAGTTGTGTCATTGTGTGTTAGGGCAGGAAGCTAGGAAACTTTTAGGTGGAACTGGACATTTTGGATTGCATATTTATTTTGTGCTCATCAATCCCTGTCGGACTCATGTATCTTTAGACTTGTGATGCTATGTTCAAAACCTTTAAAGCGGCAGGGACCAGATGAACTCAAATGTTTTTGTTTTCTGTGGCAGTTGAGTTTAAGTGCAATGAAGGTTCTCTATCATATTGGTTTGAGTTGTTTGATCTTAGCGTATGATATTTAAAAGTATACACTATGCTACATACGTGGAACCAATCACAGCTGCATCAATGACAAGAAAACTTGTTCGCAAACATTTTGGATTATGGTATCTGTAGCTTTTAGAAGAGGGCTTGAGATTGAACTGTGTCTCTAATCAGTCCAAATACTTAAATATTTATACTATGTACAGTATTAATTACAAGAGGGATAATCTCCTAAATTAGACCTAATAAACTCTAATCACCTATGAGTCAGTAACAATTAATACTACTCATTATACATGTGCTTATATCTAACTTGTAGTTCTAAACTCCCCCCCCCCCCAATCTGGAACATATACGTCATATGTGCTAAGCTTGCAACAAATAAAATCAACCAGAGGGATTGAGTAATTATATTGGCTAATTGATCGCCAGATCTGACATAACCATTAATGATCTTGCCTGAAAGAATCTTTTATTTAACAAAATGACTATCAATCTCTGTGTTTGGTTCAATTAGCATCAGAATAGCTAACAACATGAGTTTTTCCTTTGTTTTCATAAAGTAACCCTTTACCTTGTGCACTCTTGATGTATTTAATAATGCAGACCTCAACATCCCAATGAGTAATGAGTGTCACAAGGAGCACTCAGAAATTGACTTACCACACTTACAACATATGTAATGTCCGGTTGAGTTATTATGAGGTAGTTGAGTTTACTGACAAGACATGTATATCTACTAGGGTTTGTCAATGGCTCCTCCTAACTTGAAAGGAGTTTGACGTCAGGATACATTGGAGTATTGCGAGGTCGACAGACCAACATTCTTGTTTCCTCAAGTACATACTTTCTTTGAATGATCGTAACACCTACATTAGATTGAGCAATCTTAATCCCCAAAAATTATTTCAGAGGCCCAAACCTTTTATCTAAAAGTGGGGTAACATATATTGCTTAAGATTCTAAATGCCATCCTGATCATTACCTATGACAACGATGTCATTTACATAAACTAACAGGTGAATAGTGGTGGAAGAATACGCAATAATGAGCCTCATGTCGAGTCATGCCAAATTACTGGATGATAGAACTAAACCTTCCAAATCAGCACAAGGAAATTTGTTTAGGCCATAGAAGGACCTGTATAGTTAGCATACTAAGTTGGGTGCTCTATTTGTAGTAAAATCCGATGGTTGTTGTCTATATAGACCTCGTCCTATCATTCACCATAAAAGAAGGCATTTTTATTGTCCAATTGATGAAGTGGCCGTTGATGAATAGTAGACATGGCAAGAAAGAGGCGAACATAAGCAATTTTTAGCACAGGAAAAATGTTTCTCCATAGTCGAAGCCAAATATGTGTATGTACTTTGGCCACAAGACAAGCTTTTAGGTGGTCAACTTTTCCACTGGAACGAATCATGAAAGTGTAGATCCATTTACAACAATAGTCATTTTACTTAGATGTAAGGGGACAGGTTATCGGGTACCACAGGAGTATATTGATATTGTTGTGAAGGATGCATACAAATTGCAAAGTATTAATTTCTATTTATACTAATATTAGACTCCTGAAATAAGGAAACAAATCATGAAATATAAGGAAATATGGAAATCAATCCTAAGCGATCCTCTAGGATACTCTAACTATTTTAAGATGTAATCAATATATGACATTTTCAAGATATTCTAACACGTGTTCAGATTTATGGCAATATTTTATTGGCTAGAGTGCATGGGTTTTGAATATAGACATGTTTTAGAACGTACTGAAGGTTGTGATTAGCTAGCAACTTTATCAAGTACAGTGATTTTGGAATTTCATCCTATTTAATTTAAAGACCTGCTCTTGGTCCTTCTGGGGCTGTGAATTTGTATGTCATGTCTGATTGCTGGAAACATTTAATCACATTCCCTGCAGGACCTGTGCTTCATATTGCCTAGGCTAAGACATGGCTTCTTGCTTTTCTCATTTCTCGGTTCTCCCTTGTTCCTTCTAATGAAACCTTTGTAATTACATTATATAGGGAGGTGCTGAAAGGGAACAAGGCTTACTTCAGATATTGACTGAGATGGATGGATTCAAAGTTTCCACAGCACAGGTAAGCTTTTGATTGGTTGCCATTGCCAGGATCTTAAATATGTTATTTATATACTAAACTTGAATTTCAGGTTCCTGTGTAGGTGCCACAAATAGATTGGATATTTGATATACTAAACTTGGATTTTAGGTGCTCGTGATAGGTGCTACAAATAGATTGGATATTCTTGATCCTGCTCTATTGAGGAAGGGTCGTTTTGACAAGATCATCAGAGTTGGTTTGCCATCAAAAGATGGAAGATTTTCCATTTTGAAGGTATTTTACCCCCACAACCTTTATTTACTGGGTTCCTAGCTTTCTGTAGTATTTCATTATCTTAAATTTCTCTTTTCTTTTTGGTGCAAACTAGGTGCATGCTAGGAATAAATTTTTTCGCTCAGAGGAGGAAAAAGAGAATCTACTTAAGGAAATTGCAGAGCTTACAGAAGATTTCACTGGGGCAGAGCTACAAAATATTCTGTAAATATTCTTTGATTGATATTATTGCATGAATCTGTCAGCAGAATACTGGCTGATATGTCATTAATTAAATGACAGGAATGAAGCTGGAATTTTGACAGCCAGGAAAGACTTAGACTACATTGGGCGAGATGAGCTGCTTGAGGCATTAAAAAGGGTTGGTGGTTTATTAGCTTCTTTCTGGCTGGGCAATAATATTCTTTTTAATGATGTATTCAATGCATTTTTGGTGAAATTTTATGCCCACTTACGAATCTTATGGATTTGCAGCAAAAGGGAACATTTGAAACAGGGCAAGAGGATAGTGCCGAAATTCCTGAAGAATTGAAACTGAGATTGGCATACAGAGAAGCAGCTGTTGCTGTTCTTGCATGTTATTTTCCTGAACCCCACCGCCCTTTTGCTGAGGTCACTATTCTTTCGTTATTTTGTTTAGCAAGTTCATTGTGTGTGTAGACACATGATTGTTCCATCTGTCTCACTGTGTGTTTATTGTTTGCAGACTGATATAAATTCTATCCGCAGCCAGCCGAATATGCGTTATACTGAAATTTCTGGCCAGGTTTTCGCTAGGAAATCAGATTACATAAATTCTATAGTGCGTGCTTGTGCTCGTAAGTTGTTTGATTTTCAGGTCATTTTGGAAAAGGCTTCTTTGAAATCTGATTTGATTTATGAATTTTTCATCTTCTAGATAGTGTTTTTTTTAAACATTTCATGTTTTGTTTCGTGAATAATAATTATGATAGAAAAATGACAAATCAATTGCATGCGGATTTCATGGGGAGTTGTTTTTTGTATACAAATGGCATATCCTTGATTTTTATTGTGAGAATCTTTGAAATTATCAAATGGCATCCCATTTATGTCGTCTTAAATTTTTAATCCCCTTCCCCAATTTCATGATTGCTTCAGACAACGTTTGTAATTAGGTTTCAACATGTGAACTTCCAGTGGAAGACGAATTATTTTGGTCATGAAAACTGTAAAGAACCAATTCAACCCAAAAGCTTAAGCTGTTGGTGAGGCTACATTAATGGTTTTATATATCTCAACACGCCCCTTCACACGAGAGCCCACTGGACTTGAAGGGTGGACAATGCACAGGCCCACCTACCTGTGCGAACAAAGAAATTCCACTTGAAAGAAAGTGGGGGGCGGTGAGGATCGAACTCTGGACACGAGGCTCTGATACCATGTAAAGAACCAATTCAACCCAAAAGCTTAAGCTGTTGGGTGAGGCTACATTAATGGTTTTTATATATCTCAACAAAAACAAACAAAGGCTCTTTAACGTATTGTGATAAGTAATACTTGTTTAAGCTTGATAGGTTGAATACGAGACTAAAATCAAGGTAGTTTGATAGTTGGCTCGATTTTTAAGGTCAACTAAAAGAATTCTTGTATACCCTTGAAGAAAAGAGTACATAGAACTTTCTGTAGCTAGCCACAAAGATGATTAACTAAGATTGGGACCTTGGTCTTTAAGCTATTTGCTTATTTAAATTTGTTTGTAGCAAGAGTAATTGAGGAGGAGATGTTTGGGATTGACAACTTGTGTTGGATCTCTGCAAAGGCAACATTAGAAGCTTCAAGGCGTGCTGAATTTTTAATTCTGCAGACAGGAATGACGGCTTTTGGGAAAGCATATTACAAAAAGCAAAGTGATCTTGTGCCTAATGTATGTGTGTGGGACCTGACTCTAACAGTTTGTGTTTCAAGACACACTCTTTCCCTTGACAGTAATGTTCTATGAGTATAGTTGTATCACAACTTATGTTGAAGTGTTTTGTACAGCTTGCAATGAAACTGGAAGCACTCCGAGATGAGTATATGCGTTATGCTACAGAGAAGTGTTCATCTGTGCTAATAGAATACCATTCAGCGGTTGAGACAATCACAGGTCTGGTTCTCTTGTGATATGCATGTTAACAAATGAACAATTTCTTCTGGAAATTATTTACATTAGTTCATGATAGTTAAGACATGTTTTTCGAAATATAGTTTTACTGTAGAATAAGTTAATTATTGATAATTTTTCATTAAGAGGTGCCTGGCAAGATTGCTACATGTTACTTGTTATGCAGATCTTTTGCTTGAAAAGGGGCAAATCAAAGCTGAGGAAATTTGGGACATTTATAAAAATGCTCCTCGTGTAGCTCAGGTAGATCTTACACTAAAGTGGAGCATGTTGTCCTGTTTTTTTTTTTTGTCCTGTTTTTTTTTTTTTTTTATTTCTCTCTCTCTCTCTCTCTCTCTCTCTCTTTATATATATATATATATATATATATATATATAACTTTTTAGTAATGAACATTAATAAAGGTTATGATTTGTAAATTTTGTATCATGTCCTTTCTTTTTCAAATGTGATGTCCAACAAGTGAGAGTGAAGCTTGCATGCATACCAATCAGCGGGTGACTCAAAAGCCTACTTAATCTAATATAATTTTTATGGTGGATTTTGAGATTTCCTAATGACAGTTAATTTTTTTTTTAATACATGATTTGAAAGTGTTAAGAACCTTGAAGTCACCACCCCAAAAGCTAGCTCAAAGGGTGGGAGTACCCAAGGTCTTATCTCAACACGCCTCCTCACATTAGAGCCCACTGGGCTTGAAGGGTGGACAACATACAAGCCCACCTACATGTGGAAATTCCACTACAAAGAAAGTGGGAGGCGGTGAGATTTCAAACGCTCTGATAACCTTGGGATACACCACCCCAAAAACTAACTCAAAGGGTGGGAGTGCCCAAGGCCTTATAAATGCCACATTAGTTGCTCTTCAACCAATGTGGGATTATATATCTCAACACGCCCCCTCATGCAAGAGCCCTCTTGGCTTGAAGCGTGGATTATGCAATAGGCCCAATCTTTGGTTTACCTTTTTTTTTTGTGCTTCCACTTTAAAGTGGGAGGCAGTGAGGATCGAACCTCAAGCTCTGATACCATGTAAAGAACCTTGAGGTCACCACCCCAAAAGCTAGCTCAAAGGGTGGGAGTGCCCAAGGCCTTGTAAAGGCCACAGAAAGTATTCTCACATTCTAATATAGTGATTCAGAAGTTTATTTCATGTAAATTTATGGAATTTTTTAGGCGTTACAAACTTATAATTTCAGTATGGCAGTTTCGACACAGCAATTTTTTTTCAAAAAATGTTTACCATTCATCTTGGTAGAAGAAATGGTAATCTTTTGAATATCATTTTTTTTCTCCTGGATCTTGTTTAGCCTACTGTGAGTCCAGTTGATGAATATGGAGCATTGATTTATGCTGGACGGTGGGGAATACATGGGATCAGTCTTCCTGGAAGGGTTACATTTGCGCCAGGCAATGCTGGATTCTCCACCTTTGGTGCACCCCGCCCTACAGAGGTATAAGCCCGTGCCCAAACCTTGTTTTATAGGCGGCCTTAATTTGTCATGACACTAATTTGTGCTTTTTCATTTTTTTTTTTCCTTGTCTTATTTTTACTGCAGACGCAAATTGTTAGTGATGAAACTTGGAAACTAGTAGATGATATCTGGGATAAAAAGGTTCAAAAAATGAAAGATGAAGCTTCAAGGGTGATTGAAGAAGAGAAAGAAAAGCCACAACTTTTGATGGCCAGCCATTTCCTTTGAGAGGAACTTATATTTGACCTACAGGTTTGTGGGCATCTTTTATTGCATTCCAACTTCAATTATCTTTAGTTTTTTATAATTTTGGTTCTGGTTGTGATGAATAATGGAATAAGGTGACAGCTGGAACATTCCTTATTTAACTATTATTACATGTGTTGTCCATTGGGGAAAAGAATACAGAATATCAGTTATTCTTGTTATAGAAATAGTAAAAATGTCACCTCTAAGTGAAAATTATGGGTCAAACTAGTTACTCTTGTTTTTCCTCCTCTGAACTAATTGACATTGTAAAATTTTATCCTACCCTTTTCTTTAGGAAGCTGCTCCTTTGCCCAGTTCTTTATCAGCATGAATATCAACTTGGAGTGAATATTATCAACATGAAAATTGATCTTCTCTCGAACAATATAGCTGAAGGTAGTAGCATAGCCCTATTCAATTTTGTGAATGAGACCTTTTTGCCACAGATGGAGCACTGGAAGTTTTGGTCTGAGCTGTTAATTGAAATGCATTTCTACCCCATATTGTAATTTTTCACAGGGATACGTTATTGAGGCAATTGTGAAGTTATCAATTGACCTCAATTGTTTTTGTATAGTTGTTACTAAATGGTAGTCTTAAATGATAAAATTAAAGGGTAAAGATCGTTGTACTGCATTTCCTTTACATGCCTTTTTCATCACCAATATGTACACCAAAAGTGACGTGCAAATGTTAGTACTCTAAATTTAGTTTAACCTGAAGGTTTCTTCATATAAAACTAAACATGCTCTTCACTTTGTTGAAAATTGTGAACATTGTCATGTCTACATTCTTGATTCTTGCTGCACCTTGTGTTATCGTCAGCGTCTTTTGCCTCTGCAGTGTTTCATAGGAAGATTACTCCTTACATGCGAGTTAGTGCCTTGCATTTCGAAACCATAGGTGCATTCACTGTTTTTCAAGTCTCGGAATGAGGATGGGTGATTGAACAGAGAAATGTTTGTTGCAATATCCTCCAATTTTCACACTTACTCCTCACAAATGCACAATTAACCAATTATTAAACTGCAATCACTTAATTACTTACGGTTAACCACTAATTTAAACCATAATAATTCCTTTTAAATTCATTGATTACTGTTCTGGACGAACATTAATCTGGATTCTGTGTAGTTAATGTCTGCCTGGTTATCTTAATCCTTAGAGTATATATAGGTGTAGCCTTGGAACGGTTACCTGTGTCGTGGGAGTGGTGGATACCATCATGACATCATGGTAGGCCCACTTAAGACTCCCTTACTGGAAATGCTGGTTGACTCAACTGACTGCTACTCCACTACGCGCAGCAGTTAGTGACATGCCTACTCGCCTATTCCTGGTTCCGAGTACCTTACTTGTACGAGCAAGTACAGCTCGCTGTGTTAACCCGGAACATTAAGCCCCCAAAGTCGGAGTTAAATGGGTTTTTTACTCTGAGTTTAACTCTCAAAGTTTCCCTTATTCATTAAGCCCTTTACTTTTTCCTTACATCTGTATCCTTATTAAATACTCCTTGCCTATTCAGCTTCCAATCGCCACTTGTCGCTCCGTAATTGCCTTGATTTTCGAAACGACTTGACATCTGAAACGACTCATCCTGCCACTCATCATTATTTTTTGAAATTCGAAAACGTCGGTTACCCATTACCCCTATATCACCGTTTGCGTCTCATTGCATTTTACCTTTTTCTTCTACTTCTTCGTTAGGACACTTCGCCTTTCTTGCCCTTCTTTCTGATCTTTCTTCCTTTCTGCTTCGTTGTTCTTCCTCGTGGATCTTGCCATCACTCTTTTATCACCTGCTTGAAGCCCTCGCCCCTTACGCCAGTAAGTTCCTCTATTTCCTTTACATCGTAGTTAATTTATGACATTATGTGTGCTTATTTATGCTTATTATGGTACATCCATTTCCTTAACCAAATTTTGCCGAAAACTTATCATCTTATCCTGTATCTGTTTCCTTTATTCCATACTGTTCTGATCTTTATCTCTTCCTTTTCTTTGATTTTCTTTAACCACCCTATCATGTTCTGGAGGGGTTAAGCATCTAGTGTAACCCACACATTTTGCGTTATATACCTTTTATCTTGCCTTATATTTTCTAAAATAGATTTTATTGGTACCTTTCCGTCCAGGTCATGCCGAGGAATCGTCCTTACCGTTCGCTTCCCCTATCACGCTTCGCATTACCTTCTACTGTTGAAGGTTTAGAATGGGTTGAAGAAGAAGCTCTAGGGCTTCGTTCCTCTTATGAAAACCAACCGAGTTCTCTTCATACTGCCTTACAAACTGTACCTCTATTTCGTGACTCAATTATCACTTCTTTCCGAGTTGAAGTACCCGGAGAAGAAGAACGTATTTGTTCACCTTCTGGGCAAGGTGAGAATTCTTTCTTCTTTGCCTACAAATGTTTATTTTCTGAACTCTTCATATCCTTACCTTTTTCCGAGTTCCAAGTGGACGTCCTGAATCACTTGCAAGTCGCCCCCTCTCAACTACATCCTAACAGTTGGTGTTTTCTACATACCTTTGAGATAATTTGTCGTTCGTTTGGATTCTCCTATTCCTTTCGGGTCTTTTTCTGCCTTTTTGCTGTGTTCCGAAATGCTGTGGATAAAAGATGTACTCGTTATAGCTGGGTTTCTTTAAAGGCTCGACCCGGGTTACGTTGGTGTTCTATATATGAAGATAACTGGAAAAATTTCAAGGAAGAATATTTCAAAATCTGTATTCCTGAAGCTCTTCCTGCCACTCCTTCTGCGTCTTCTTCTTCTTCTCAACCTGCCTCTCCTTCTGCTTTCTTTTTGGATCAGCACGGAGCTCCGCGCTTTCCTCTCAGTTGGAACTGTCTTCATTACACCACTTCTGCCAAAGCATTCTTGACGAATTCACAGAATTTGAACCCCGAAGAAACTGAAACTTACACTTGGTTCACCAAGCTTGCCTCCGAATTAGCTAAGGAAAATATTTCCCTCATTCCTCGGTCTATTCTAACTTATAAAGATTCTTCTGACTGGGTTTACAGGAAATTAAGTAAGTAACTTAAATAATTTGATATGTTTTTTTTTTTTTTCTGAATATTACGTTTAACCTCAAATCTATTTTCTTTGTATCTGTGATTTCTAGATAAAGTCATGGACCCTTCCTTTTTTGCCCGCCAAAAGCAAAAGGCTACCCGTAAAGATGATTCTTCTGCCTCAGGTGGGAAAGACATCTCTCCTACTCGTTCTCCTATGCCGGCTACGTCTGCTACTAGTTCTATTCCGGACAATACTGTTATAATGGATGTGGAGGCCCCCATTGATTCCAGCGAGCTCATTCGAAGGAAACGAGTTCGCATTAACGAACCTAGTCCTGACTCTTCTGTTGAAAAGTCTTCAACACCTCCTACTTCTGTCATTGCTACTCCTCGTGCGGAACCCCCTTTTATGAAAAAATTGAAGCAGTGCTTTACTCCCGGGCTTTGTGACAAATGGGACAAGTTCTCTTTAGATCAACTTATGGCCAAATTCACCGACATCCGATATCACTCTCTCCGGGAAGCGCACTACTACGAAATGGCACTTCTCGCCTTGGCTGAACATCAACAACTTCTGACTGATCTGAAAGAGTCCCAACTCTTAAAAGAGAAGTTACAAACAGAACAGACATAGCTCCTTCAAAAGGTCGAAGCTGCCGAGTTTGTTGCTCAAGGCTTCCAAATTAAACTCAAAGAAAGTGAAGAATCCAGTAAGAAAAGAAATGAAGAACTTGCTACTCTCAAAAAGGAACATCAAGTGTTAACTGAGAAACACAAGGTGCTGACAAAAAATTATGAAGATTCTGACCTCCGGGTAGCCGAGTTAGAGTTAGAAGTGGATACTCTGAAGAAAAATGTCCAGGCTTTACAACAAGCTGCTGATGACATGGATTCTAAGTATGTTGCCTTCGGTCATCAAATTCGTGGCTGAGTTGTAGATCAGGTGAAATTTTTCCATCCAGACTCTCCCTTGCCTCATTTGAGCAAAATAGGAACTTTCAATTTTATTGATAATGACCGACTATGCACTCATGACGAACAAGGCTCTGTTGCTGTTCTTGCTGAAAACCCCTCTGAGTATTTGGGATTTACTCCTGCTTCCGACCCTGCTGCCTCAAGCCCTGTTCCTAAGACTACTTAAAGAAGTTAGACATCACTTTATTTTGTACTCAGCTCTTTTATTATAACTATTGTAATCTTGTACTCGTAAGCTACTTGTTTTTATTAAATATTTGAACTCGTAAGCATGAAGTGAAATGATGTATTTTAATTTGATTCTCGCTTTCCTTTGAATTTGACAACTATGCGATCTTAATAGTTGTTTAAATACCTGCTTGTTCTTTTTGGCACAATTACACTGTCTCATTATTCAAATGTACGTCCTTTTTTCTACCCGTCATCATGCCTTTACATAACCGTTTCCGAGTAGGAATTGAACGGTTGCCCAAGAGGCCAATTAAGGTGGCAAGGGACTTTAATTTTCCCGTTTCCGAGTGGGAATTGAACAACTGCCCAAGAGGCCAATTACGGCGGCAAGGGACTTTGATTTTCCCGTTTCCGAGTAGGAATTGAACGGCTGCCCAAGAGGCCAATTACGGCGCAAGGGACTTTGATTTTCCCGTTTCCGAGTAGGAATTGAACGGCTGCCCAAGGGGCCAATTACGGCGGCAAGGGACTTTAATTTTCCCGTTTCCGAGTAGGAATTGAACGGCTGCCCAAAAGGGGCCAATTACGGCGGCAAGGGACTTTAATTTTCCCGTTTCCGAGTAGGAATTGAACGGCTGCCCAAGAGGACAATTACGGCGGCAAGGGACTTTTGCTTTCCTTAATAGTACTTTATTAAAGTCGAACTGGCTTTATTGAATTGAAATATTGCAACACCTAATAACATACGCAGAGTAACTGCAACACATAACATAAAATACTCCTACTAAATTTAACAAACTAACTTCCTAATCACTAATGTAAAGCTAAGACCTACGATCTGCCATCCGACTTCCACTTAAACCTGGATTTCTTCAACTAAAGTACCTTTTTAACTTGGCAGCATTCCAATATCGCGGAACTGGTTTCCCATCCAAGTGCTCTATCTGATACGCTCCAGTCTTTGTGGCAACTGTTACTCGATAAGGACCTTCCCAATTAGCTGCCATTTTTCCATCTCTTGCATTTTTATTACCCACATCTTCCCGCCTGAGCACCAAATCTCCTTCCTGAAACGTCCTTTTGACCACAGTTTTATTATATCTCATTGCTGCTCGTTGCTTGGATGCCAATTCCACCATTGCCACCTTTTCCCGTTCTTCGTCCAACAACTGTAAATCAATTTTCATCATCTCCCCATTCTCGTCTTCATTTTCTTCTGATATCATTTTCCTCCTCCAAGTTGGCTCTCCGACTTCCACGGGCAACATAGCTTCAAAACCATATGTCATCTTAAATGGTGTTTCTTGAATGCTGGACTGCACGGAAGTCCTATATCCCCACAACACATTATCCAACTCTTCCACCCAACTTCCTTTACACCCTTCCACCCTCCTTTTGAGTCCATTCGTCAAGATTTTGTTAGCCGACTCTACTTGCCCATTCGTTTGGGGATGTTCTACTGCAGCGAATTTGTTCTTTATCTCCAAGTCAACTACCATCTGTCTGAACTTCTTGTCTATGAACTGTGTCCCATTATCAGTGATAATTATGGCC